CTGTTGTTGTTTTGTTGTTGTTGTTGTTGTTTTGTTGTTGTTATTATTATTATTATTATTATTATTATCATTATTATTATTATTATTATCATTATTATTTTCATTATTACTATTATCCTTTTTGTTATTATTACCTTAATAAGCACAGTAATGAGAATTAGCTGGTCACCAAAAGACAATATTGATGATACATGGTACGCAACACTGCTATCAGGTGACAAGAAAAAAAAAGAAAAGAATAGTAACCACCCCTTAGAAAGAACACACACATATATAAATGTGTGTGTGTGCCAATGTCTAACACAGCTACAAAAAGTTGAGCTAATAACTGAATAATCGGCAACTCTTTCAATCTCCTAGCATCTCTCACCCAAACTCCCCCCTCCCCCCTTCAACCCACTCCCCCACCCTCTCCTCTCACCCCCTCCCCTTCCTCCCTGCCTTTCGCCGTGCTACCCTTCGGCCTCCCTCCCTCTCTTTTCCCTCTCTCCCTGCCCCTCTTCCCTTTATCTACCTGCTTCCTTCTTCCATCTTCCATTACCTCTCCCCATCCCTCTCCCCTTGCCTCACCCCCTCCCTCCTCTCTTCCTCATCCTCCTTACCCCTCTCCTCCCCCCCCTTCTCCCCTTCCCCCCCTTCTCCTTCTTTCGCCTACTCTATGAATCTGGAATTAATCATTAAATGAACCCAGGTGTTTGAACAAAAGCCACATTAAAGGCTAATGGAACCCCCCTAATGAGACGTTATTAAGTACCATATAGACTGGAAACCCCCGGGCAGCTTTATAAGGGAAGACCACCAATTCTACGGCCACTGTTTCTAAGGGAGATTGACTGCAGGAATTAAAAGCTCTCCGTAGATCGACGAATGGTCTCGTTTGAATTGTAAATTAGGAGGAAACGGAATAATGAATTGGTTCGAGATTCATGGGGGAAAAAAATGGAAATTGAATAAGCAAATCATTAAGGTCAAAGGAGAAAAGGGGCGTTCAAGGTGAAGAATGATTTAGTAAACAAATAAATGGATAAATAGAGCAAACAAATAGACAAACCAAATGCATAAATAAACAAAGACACACGTGAATAGACAGATAGATAATAAATGAACAAATGAATGAATACACACTTAAATAAACTAATTTAGATAAATAGATAAATAACTTTATTTAAAATGTAAATATTGACAACTGTACTTCTATTTCATCCGAATATACGTGTATGTTTGTATATTCAGTTATTCATCATTGATATTATTCTTATTGTCAATATTGTTAGACTTATTGTTAGTTTTGTTATTGGTGGCATATATTATCATTATTCAGATTAAGATTCTGCTTATCATCGTTTTCATCTGTGTCATCGATATTGTCATACTCAGTATTAGTGGTAATGCCAACAATCATGCTAAAAGTGATAATGGTAAATATAACAATGATAATGATATTGATGATAATAACATTGGTGATAGCAATAATCATAATCATAATGATGATGATAATAATGATAAAAACAATAGTAATAGTGATGATAATAATAATGATGATAATAACAACAACAGTAAGAATAATAATAATAGTGAAAATGAAAATTATAATAGTAATAATAATAATGATAATACCAGCAACAACAACAACAGCAATGATAATAATGATAATGATAATAATGATAATAATAATGATAATAATAATGATAATAACAATAAAGATAATCATGATAATAATAATGATAATAACGATAATGCTAATAATAATAATGATAATAATAATAATGCTAATAATAACAATAATGATAATAATAATAATAATAATAATAATAATAACAATAATAATAATAATAATAATAATAATAATAATAATAATAATAACAATAATGATAATAATAATAATAATAATAATAATAATAATAATAATAATAATAATAATAATAATAATAATAATAATAATGATAATAATAATAATAATAATAATAATAATAATAATAATAGTAGTAATAATAATAATAATAATAATGATAATGATAATTATGATAATAATAATGATAATAATGATAATGCTAATAATAATAATGATAATAATAATAATGATAATAATAACAATAATGATAATAATAATAATAATGATAATAATAACAATAAAATAATAATAATAACAATAATAATAATAATAATAATAATAATAATAATGATAATAATAATGACAATAATGATAATGATAATAATAATAATAATAATAATAATAATAATAATAAAACAATGCTAATAGAATTGATAATAATGACAATAATTACATTAATAAAAACAATATTGATATTGATAATAATGATAATGATAATAACAAAAACAACAACAACAGTAATAATGATAATAATAATAATAATAATGATAATAATAATAATAATAATAATAATAATAATAATAATGATATTAATCGTAATAATAATGATGATAATAATAACAATAATAATAATAATAATAATTATAATAATAATAATGATAATAATAATAATAATAATAATAATAATAATAATAGTAGTAATAATAATAATAATAATAATGATAATGATAATGATAATGATAATGATAATAAAAATAATAGTAATAATAATAATGATAATAATAATAGTAATAATAATAATAATAGTAATAACAATAATAATGATAATAATAATAATAATAATAATAATAATAATGATAATAATAATAATAATAATAATAATAATAATGATAATAATAATTATCGTTATTATATGAAAATAATAATGATGATAATCATAATGATGATAATAGTAATAATGATTATTGTTATTATCAAGATAATGATAACTATAATGATAATAATAATGATAATAACAATAATGATAATGATCATAATACCTAAAAGAGTAACAATAAGACCAGCAGTAACATTGATGGTAATAATGATGATGATAATAACAGAGAAAGAGAGCGGCAGGAGACAAACAGAAAGCAAAAGAGGATGGGGGATAAAAAAGAGGTGATAAAAATAATGATAGAGTGACACACACACACACCACACATACACACACACACACACACACACACACACACACACACACACACACACACAATCATATATATAGTATCCTCCGCCTTTCAATGGAGCCTTATACAACTACATCAGATATATATCCCATTGACTAAAGAGTATAGTGAGAGTATATCATAACAAAATAGTTATAATAACTATAATAATGATTATCATCGCTAATGTTATTATCATTGGAATTACCATTATTATCATTGTCATTATCATTATCATTGCTACTACTGCTGCTACTATTATTATCATTATCATTATTATTATAATTATCATTATCGTCATCATCATAACAATAGTAATAACAGAAACAGGAATATAATAACAGAAATATAAGATAAGGAGGTAAAAATCGCCACAATCATTATTCATGCATCACCCTGTTGTGGGGGTGGGGGTCCACCTACACCACATTTCAGCCACCGGAGACATTGATAGATTTATAATGAGATATACAGACATTATCATTAACAAACGACGGACAACTCTGCTAATAGATAGAAAGATAGATGAGGAAAAATCTGGGTCGTTTCTGTAATGAAGTTTAAGCCAGTGCATGAATACTTAAAACAAGTATGACGCTCCAGGAACGTCAAAACCGTCAAAGTATAATAGTAATTCAAAGATTCCTTTTGATGCGTGCAGCTACCGCGACCTCATTTGAATATATATGAAATACCTAATATATAATCTAAGTCAAATGAGCACACGCGCAGTAAAATGTGTTTTCTTTTTTTTTTTCTTTTTTTCTCTCTCTCTTTTTTTTGTCCGGGTATAAAATCATAATAAACTGTGATACGAAGCTTCTAATAAACGGATTCCATTGCTAAGTTTAGAATTCGAATAGTTTGTGTTATTGTTCAGCAGTAGTGGCTTCTATGGGGACGTATGCATTTTCACTTTTTCTGATGAATTGTTCGTATATTTTATATAATTAATTAATTATCTTTCTTTATCCCTCTCCCCTCTCTCTTTTTCGCCTGCTCTTTTTCCCTCCCTTCCCCTCTTTCTTTCTCTCCCCCCACTCTCTTTCTCTCTTCCTCCCTCTCTTTATTTGTCTTTCTCTCTCTCCCTCTGTCTCTCTATCTATCTATCTCTATCTATCTATCTCTATCTATCTATCTCTATCTATCTATCTCTATCTATCTATCTCTATCTATCTATCTCTATCTATCTATCTCTATCTATCTATCTCTATCTATCTATCTCTATCTATCTATCTCTATCTATCTATCTCTATCTATCTATCTCTATCTATCTATCTCTATCTATCTATCTCTATCTATCTATCTCTATCTATCTATCTCTATCTATCTATCTCTATCTATCTATCTCTATCTATCTATCTCTATCTATCTATCTCTATCTATCTATCTCTATCTATCTATCTCTATCTATCTATCTCTATCTATCTATCTCTATCTATCTATCTCTATCTATCTATCTCTATCTATCTATCTCTATCTATCTATCTCTATCTATCTATCTCTATCTATCTATCTCTATCTATCTATCTCTCTCTTTCTCTCTCTCTCTCTCTCTCTCTCTATCTATCTATCTCTATCTATCTATCTATCTACCTATCTATCTATTTCTCTCCATGCACTCACACACGCATACACATATATGTGTGTGTGTGTATATATATATATATATATATATATATATATATATATATATATATATATATATATATATATATATATATATATATATATATATACTTTGTGTATTAGTATTAGCTCGTTGTTATTACTGCCATTAATCCTACTTTATTAAATATCCTTTCACCTGGCCCAGGCTTTCATATCCATCCCTTCTTTTCTTCGTGCTCACCCTCGCCCTCGTCATCATCCTTATCCTCGCCCTCACCCTCGTCATCGGTCTCGCCCTCGTCCTTATCCTCGCCCTCGCCCTCGTCTTCGTCCTTGTCATCGCCCTCACTCTATCCTTCGTCCTCGTCCTCGTCCACGCCCTCGCCCTCGTCATCGTCCCTGTCATCGCCCTCACTCTCTCCTTCGTCCTCATCCTTGTCTTCGTCCTTGTCATCGCCCTCATCCTCTTCCTCGTCCTCGCCCTCGCCTTCGTCCTTATCCTCGTCCTCGTCTTCGTCCTTGTCATCGCCCACATCCTCGCCCTCGTCCTTATCGTCGCCCTCGCCCTCGTCTTCGTCCTAGCCCTCGTCTTCGTCCTTGCCATCGTCCTCATCCTCTTCCTCGTCCTCCTCCTTACCACCGCCCTCATCCTCGCCCTTCCCCTCCCCCGCTGCCAGACCGACGAGCAACTGGCTTCCGGCTCAAATATGCTTTGAACCATGAGTCAATTTTAGAGTTATTGCTTATTGTTGAATTAAAGGTTCAATCAGCAAGTTTTTTTTTTTTTTTTTTTTTTTTTTTTTCTAGTGCGATTCTCGTTCTGGGAAATGGCGACTCCTTATTTTCTGTCGTTTGTCTTCACATGTATTCGTAAATAAACAAAAATGTATGCGTGCGTGCATTGTATTGCCGATAGTTTCTTTTATAGATTGGTCTGAAATGCGAGGTATGGATTACGGTATATATGATGCTCATTATTTATTCACTGCAGTGATACTCAATATTAAAAAAAATATATGCTTATGTGCTATAATCTCTCAATATATATCTATTTATTTCTCTACCTATCTATATCCATCTATCTATCTATCTATCTATATATTCCTCTATTTATCTATCTATTTATCTATCTACCTATATATCTATCTATCCATCCACACATCCACCCATCTATGTATCCATTATATCTATCTATCTCTACACTACTTCCTAATCAGTTTCAAGTAGTAAATATTTGAAAAATCTTTTGAAAATCTTCACGAATTTCCCCAAAGCGGTCACATTCACAGCAGGAGTGAAGTTTGAAATCATCCTCGCGATTAACTATCAGGAAGTATAATGAATCATCTCCAATAATCATGAAATCAGTGATAAGAATTCACGTCAAATTGAAATGCCTGATAAGCTTTGATATCTTAATTGTTTGTTGTATTAATGAAACTCTCGTTGCAATCAACAGCACAGTGATTGCTTTTGAAACAATTTGAGGCGGAATTACGCTACATGTATATATATTTTTCTCTTTTTATGTAATGAATCTAGAATGGCTGGATAATGAGATGTAATCAGGACAGCTAATAAGATCCCTTATTTATGTTTGATTTTTTAGGCGGTTATGATTATTATCCCAAAGGCCTTCTAATGATCACTATCATTAGAAGTTTCTCATTAATTCTATTGTTATTGATACTATGATTTTTTTTTTATTACCATTGTAGTTATTATATTTAATGTTATTATTATCATTATCACTATAATTATTTTCATTATTATCCTTGTCATTAATATTATACCAATATTGATTATATTGATTTAATATTAATTATATATTATCAATAAAGGATATTATTACTATCATTATTATCATTTTCATTATCATTATTATCATCATTATTGTAATTTCTTATGTTATCATTATTATTATTATTATCATTACTATAATTATTACTATTATCATTATTATTATTATTATTATTATTATTATTATTATTATTATCATTATTATTATTATCATTATTATTATTATTATTATTATTATTATATTATCATCATCATCATTATTATTAATATTATTGCTATTATTATTATTATTATTATTATTATTATTATTATCATTATTATTATTATTATTATTACTATTATTATCATTATTATTATTATCATCATCATTATTATTATTATTATTATCACTATTATTATTATTACTATTGTTATTGTCTTCATTACTATCACTGATCTTATTATTATTATTATCATCTTCATCATCATTGTTAGTATTGTCATTATCATTATTATTGTTATTGATATTGTTCTTCTTCTTCTTATTATTATTATTATTATTATTATTATTATTGTTATAATAATAATAATAATAATAATAATAATCATTATTATTATTATTATTATTATTATTATTATTATTATTATTACTACTACTACTACTACTAGTGTTGTTATTGTTATTATTATTATTATTATTATTATTATTATTATCATTATGTTGTTAATGTTATTATCATTATCGTTATCATTAAAATTATAATCATTATTGTTAATATAGCTATAATTATTATTATTATTACCATTATTGTTATTGTTATCAATATCATTATTGTTTTAATTATCATTATCATTCTCATTGTTGTTTTTGTTGTTGTTGCTATTATTATTATGAACATTATTAATATTATCATTATTATTTGTATTGATATTATCATTATTATTTCTATTATTATTATCATCATCTTATTATTGTCATTGTCCTTACTGCCATTATTGTTATTATTATTGTTATTATTATTATTATTATTATTATTATTATTACTATTATTATTATCATTATTTTTATCATTATCATCATTATAATTATTACTATTGTTCTTCTTATTCTTATGGTTGTTATTATCATTAGTGTCATCCTTATTATCATTATTATTATTATCATTATTGCTATTATCATTAGTGTTGTTATTACTTTACTAATATCTTCACCATCACACCTATTATTATTGCCATAATAATAATAATAATAATAATAAAAATAATAATAATAATAATAATAATAATTATTATTATTATTATTATTATTAATATTACTATTATTATTATTATTGGTATTATTACTATTACTATCATTACTATTATTATTATTAATATCATCCTCATTATTATCATTGGCGTAATTATCATTATTTTCATTTGTAGTAGTAGTAGTAGCAGCAGTATTAGTAGTAGAAGCAGTAGCAATAGTAGTAGTAGCAGCAGTAGTAGCAGTAGCAGTAGTAGCAGTAGCAGCAGTAGTAGTAGCAGTAGCAGCAGTAGTAGTAGCAGCAGTAGTAGTAGCAGCAGCAGCAGTAGCAGCAGTAGCAGTAGCAGTAGCAGCAGTAGTAATAGAAGCAGCAGCAGCAAAATAAGCTGTAGTAGTAGTAGTAGCAGCAGTAGCAGCAGCAGCAGTAGTAGCAGCAGCAGCAGAAGTAGCGGTAGTAGTAGTAGTAGTAGCAGCAGCAGCAGCAGCAGAAGTAGCGGTAGTAGTAGTAGTAGTAGCAGTAGCAGTAGTAGTAATAGAAGCAGCAGCAGCAGAAGTAGCGGTAGTAGTAGTAGTAGTAGCAGTAGCAGTAGTAGTAATAGAAGCAGCAGCAGCAGAAGTAGCGGTAGTAGTAGTAGTAGCAGGAGCAGCAGCAGTAGCAGCAGCAGTAGTAACAGCAGCAGCAACAGCAGAAGTAGCGGTAGTAGTAGTAGTAGCAGGAGCAGCAGCAGTAGCAGCAGTAGTAGTAGAAGTAGTAGCAGCAGCAGTAGTAATAGTAAAAGTAATAGTAATAATAGCAACAGCAATAACTACAACAACAACAATAGATGTCAATGTGTGTTTGTAAGTGTCAGTGTTCTGATTCCCATATTTTATATGTGTCTGATGTTAATCTGATTTGACATATCACCCGTTCGTTTTGTATTCACGCTTTAAAGATATGTAAACTGCTCAGTGAAATTCCCCGGACAGTTAAATGCGCTACATAATCTTATTCAAAAGATATGGAATGCGTAAAAGGAATGGAACTTCGCAAAGAATTGTTTAGCACAAATAAAATATCTTATTTTGGACGAGAGGAGAGAATGGGACAGCGAAAGGGAGAAAACAAAAGAGAGAGATAGAGAGATTGAGAAATAGAGAGAGAGAGAAAGAGAGAGAGAGAGAGAGAGAGAGAGAGAGAGAGAGAGAGAGAGAGAGAGAGAGAGAGAGAGAGAGAGAGAGAGAGAGAGAGAGAGAGAGAGAGAGAGAGAGAGAGAGAGAGAGGCAGACACACAGAGAATGTGAGCGAAAAAGAGGGAGATAGATATATAGATAGAGAGATAGATAGAAAGAGAGAGGGAGAGACAGACAGACAGACAGACATAGTGAATAAGTGAGAGAGAGAGAGAGAGGCAGATAGAGAGTATGAGTGTCGTTTTGTGAACATCCCATCGCTGTCTGTCAAAGGGTTGCTGTGGGGCTTCCCACGTTGGTCGTTCAGAGAAACGCTCGGCAAGGTTCGTCACGTCTATTAAAGATGGTAGCGTTTGCGAAGGTTGAAGACGTAAGCGTCGTGCCGGCCAGGGCAGAGGGTTAGACCCCCAAGAGGAGGCAGCGTCTAAGCGGGACCGTGACTCGCGGTAGAATGAGTGTAGAGAAAGTCAGAGGTCACGAACAAAGGGGTATTGCGAAAAGGAGAAAACAAAAGAGAGAGAGATAGAGAGATTGAGAAAGAGAGAGAGAGAGACATAAATGCTGATACACAGTCTGAAGGAAAGATCTAAAAGGATATCTAATTTGCTTCCCCGTCATGGATATACTTCGTTGCTAATTGTTCCCAGTAATATATATATTTCTATTTTGGTTCTTGATAAGGTGATAATGTAATCATATTTATTCTATTCGTCCTTTCTTTGGCATAGCATGAGGCCTTGTTTCTCCTTGCATATCGATATCCTCTTTTTCTGACCCGATGCTTAAAGACATTGTGTTGTTGCCTCTTTTGCATCAACTATTATATTATCTCCTCAGTGTCTGATATAATCTTTCCAGTTCATACTAGTCATATTTTTCTCACAGATTTAACTCTTCAAACTTGTATCGATTAGTTAAGATAAGTGTGAGGGAAAGTTCACAACCTTTTAGAGAATTTACATTATTTATTAACTGAAAGAATATTATATAGCCAAAATGTAAAGCCAATCACATAAATTGATATGCCAATAATACAACATCTAAGTTCCTTATAATCCAATACAATAACTATACCACACTGAATATCCATCTTTTAGTTTTAACAAATAACTTGCCACTTTACTCTAAATGTTAACATGCAAGCAACTACATAATATCAATTTAAGCAAGCTGTTATTAATTATGAAATTAGAGCAAACAATGTCAGTGCTTAAATTGGATATAAATAATAAGTAAAAGAATTCCTTTCTTCACATGCAATGATTGAAAACATCAAATTATTAGTAAACAAATAGGGTTACAGAAATCAGTGAAATTTATACTTAAGCAAGATGAACTACTTATACCAAGCAATTAAAAATACTAAGTTAATGTCCTTACACAATTTCTAACTTAAACTTAAGATTATCTCCATTAAAAATTAAATGAGTACATTTCAAAAATGGACAGAAAATAAATTATCCTTAATCAGGCAATCATAATGCTAAATCAATCTCATTTAGCAGTAATTAAATCAAGCAAAAAACTTATCCTAGAAAGTACTTAACTGATACATACATTATGCAAACACAAAATTATTCTTACGCTCCACTGGAAATTAATAATCTTCATCACTGTTAAATCACACTTCCGTAGAGCTGAGATCTCTTAAAAGTAATTCATTAATTCCTTACTTCTAAACTAACTCAATAAATCCTTATACTTAAAATTCAAATCTATATGTATTCAATTATATCATTCTTCAACCTTGACAGTCAAATCTATAATTATTCCATTATATAATTCTTACTTTCAAAGTTAATTTAATCAATACAATTATTGGTCCATTATATAGCCACATACAAATCAAGAAATAATCCCTAATTCTACTTAATCCACATTATCCATAGCACATTCCCGTCCACTATGTTCCCACAAGATAAGGCACTAAATCCCTTCAACCGGGCTTACCAAGATGTGCCACAAACGTGACATGGCTACTGTCTGACATAGTTCAGATCATATGACCCTCAGTTTTACTCACACAGACATAGAGTCTGGTTTCAATGTTTACAGAAGGGTATTGACCTTATTGGAGCATACGTTGAAAAATAAAACATACACACACACA